GAATGAGAACCAGGCCATCGTTTAGGCTTCTGTAAGAACACTGGATATGAGTCCCTACAGTGCGGATATAATTTTATTTTACGACCTAGGTAATTGTTTTATGGGCATTCAATTAATAATTGCTAGACTTTATATGTATGGACTTCATGGACTTTTTCAACTGTATTTCACAATAAGAAAAAGAAATAAAAGGCAGCTATTTGTTAATTTATGTAATAGTCCATTAAGCCTGACCTGAGTGTCCACTAATTACAAATTCTAATATGGCATATTACTTAAAAACAGATTAGTCCCATTTTGTAGTAAACCAGCAGCGCCTACCCACATCCACTGTAATACCTTGTGCAGAAGGAAGCTGGCTACTTACACTGGGCCTCATCACTGCTAAATCAGTTTTTATTTCTGCTTGTGGTCCAAGAAGGTGCCTCAGAAATTCAGAATGGAAGGTAGAGGAAATCCAGTTGTGGGTTGTGGCCACCCTCCTTGACCAAAGTTATTCTCATTTGCTTTTCATACACACTGCCCCCATTTTTCTTTAAAGAAATATGGCTAAAATAAAGTTTGAAAACCGCTGATCACATATTCAGAATTTGGATTTTATCATTTTAAAATGTCCAAGCCCTGGTACATTGAAAATGGTGTAAGAAAAACAATAGGTGATTCTCATCTTTCTAATCCACCTTCCTGTGTATTTATTTTGACATTCCTTTCCAAGTTATATACATTACATATAGTCCCACTTCAATATAATGGTAGTTTTAGTTTGATGTAGTTACTGTTTTTGTTATTTTGGTTGCTTCCTGATGACTTCCAAGGATTCTGATTCTACTCAATGAAGTTTCAAAATCACAAAGTATTTCTGATTGCTTCTTGTTAAATTCTGGCATATGACATCTCTAGGTTTTACCAAAAAGAATGTCCTGTATCCAACCCTTTGCACTTAGTATAATTAATACTTTTTTTTATCTTGCAAGTCAATTTAGTTTGGGGCCTTGTCTACTAACTACACTATTTTTCTTGGTGGATAAATAGCAAAGGAACAGAAAAAGAGAACATTAAAAATTAATATTCATTTTCAGATAATGACCTTCCTTTTCTTTAAAGGCTGGAAACAGAAAAGTGGAGAGATACTAAAGCTGGTAATAAGAAATGGGAAAAGAAATGGTTCTAACTGGATAGCAACTCAGCTGTGTTCAGGGGATGTCAAGGAAATGTGATCAGTATTTTTCTTGGGGAGCAGTAGCTGGAAATAAATGGCTTGACGACTCCCACATTCATCTATTTTTGTTCAAATGGTAGAAAAGTGAAAGAATTGCTTTTACTCATAATCACAAAAAATATTTGAAAATCATGCAGATATCTGATAACCAATGTATGGACTTGCCAATGTACAGAAAGTGGGACAATATAGGACTTCCACACAATTTTTTTAGAACAAAGCTACAAATTCCCCTTAAACTACAATAATAATAACAACACACTACTTGTAGGACTGACCTGCTTCCCAGTTGCTGCTTGCTTTGGTTACCTCCTCACTGCTGTTATTCAAAATCCAAATAGCAAGGAGAAATCTGTACCAAGAAAAGCTGTACTTGGCAGGAAACAATGGCCCTCTCATACACATTTCAAACTGCAGCAGGCTTTTGGTAATACATTTGATAATACATATCAAAGGCCTTGGAATTACATACAGCCTATGACAATTATCCTAGCCAATGGCGGTGGTGGCAGGCTCCCAGAATTTTGGTAAAAAACTTATGACACCACCATTCTTCAAAGTCAACCTTCTCTTGCCAGGCTTGGTGGCTCACACCCGTAAATCCCAGCACTCTGGGAGGCTGAGGCAACAGGATCATTTGAGAACAGCCTGGGCAACATAGGGAGACCCCATCTCTACAAAAAAAGAAAAAAAATTAGCCTGGCATGGTGGTGCACACCTGTAGTCCTAGCTACTCAGGAGGCTGAAGTGGCAGGATCCCTTGAGCCCAGGAGTTTGAGGTTACAGTGAGCTACGAGAATGCCACTGCACTCCAGGCTGGGCAACAGAGCAAGACCCTGTCTCTAAAAAAAAAAAAAACAAAAACAAAATCAACTTTCTAACTTCACCACTAAAAAAAATTTCTGATTTAGCATCAGGAAAGATCTTCATGTGTCAAGACATCACTGTCTCACCTTATTGATCTAAAACAGTATGTCAAATCTTGATAACCTGATTTATTTGCTAAATTTTATTACATATTTTAGGCAGGTGTGTTGTTTTTTTACAAAGTTCAACTGCACCCATATGGGATGATTCATTGGTTGAGAATATCTGAGATGCAGTGCAAGCAGAAGGGAGAAGCATTAATAATCAACAGAAGAGCTTCTTAAGTAACTCATTTCAAGGAGGCTTTACAAAGATGTTATGGTCACTTAATAGAAGTGGTAGAGTATCATGTTCTGAGGGTAATTTTCAGAAGTGCTAGCATATAAAGAGGTGAGAAAGATAATAAAGCAATACAACATACTTAAGAACTTGAATGCTTTGACCAAATTACTTTCAGTTTCTGCATCTGAAGAAACAGGCCAAACAACTACTCATAAGCTTGTGAGGAAATAAGTATATAAACTATAAACTACAGTATACTTGTACCGTGCTGGGGACTTTAAGCGTATCATCTTATTTAATCATCATAGCTCACTGAGGCAGCTATTAGTCCTATTTTACAGATGAAGTAAGGTTAGGAGGTTTAATTCCCAGAGGTTACATGTTTAGTAAGAGGCGGAGACGAGATTCTATCTCAAGAATAATGGATTCCAAAGCTTATGTTTTTTTCTATACTATTCTATCTTCAGGAATTCTTAAAAATGCATTTTTCTTCAGTAAATTTGATTAAGAGTACTTCTATAAATTTTAAATGTTTATAAATGAAACATGTTTTACACCAAGCAGCTTCCTCCACATAAAAAGTTCACTGCAAAATATTTAATAGCCTTTATATTAACTTGAAACAAGCCAATTTAGGAAATTATCAAACAATCTAATTAGATCTATTACAGAAATGTATTTATTCTTTGTTAATTTTTGGCTTGCTTTTCTAGTAATCATTGTCCCACAAAATACACATTCTCCAAGAATGAGGAAAGTGAAGTAATTAAAAGTACTTTCACAATACATTCATGTTATTGCTTCCCACAATAAAGGCAACCTATTCACAGTGTATGGATTTTAGCTTTGGTGTCCAATTAAACATCCTCAAAAAGCAATCATTTTTAAAGGCTGTCTGGTAAAACAAAAACATCCTCGATTATTTCAATTCAAGCATAAGAGGCTAAAGTATCTTTGTCCACTATTCCTAGAATAGGGAACAGGAGTAACTTCCACATACTTTAGTTGTGCTACTTATATTCAATTTTCTTATCCCAATACACCCGGCCCATAAGAGGCCATTTCTTTTCTCTGTACCACCATTATTGCTTAATGTGCAACATCTAAAAAATCGCATCTAGAAAGCCAGAGGGCTACAAAGGTAACAAAACATTTTTGAAGAAAAATAAACAGAATATACTACAATGGAGAAATACAGTCAGAATCACCTAAGACACAGAAACAAAATTTCCATCTCTAACAAATGCAATTCAATTGAACAGGCTCATAAAAGAGCTAAATGTGGCTGTCTATTCTTCCCTGTAGTACTCTATGAGATTTGTAAATACAAAAACCATCGAGTTTAGATTTGAAAATTGTAACTTTCCTACCCATAAAAACTTGTATATCACTATGAAAAATTACCTGGTTATAATTTATAATGACAAGTAGTGGGAAGCCTATTTTGCGGGTATTGGTTCTGACTTAGGAGGGGAAAAAAAACACAACTTCTTGAAAAGGTAAAATAGCTTAAAGCATTTAATATCTAAACAAATCAATCTGTTAATAGTAGTCACAAAATATGCTTAGTATAGAAACCCACATTTATGTCCCTTAAGAAAAAGTGTAAATTGTATTCCACTGAAAACATAAATTAACCCAAAGAATCTGCAGCAGTCAAAATCATGGTGAATTTTTAACAACTTCAGAATAAAATAACAATTAAGTACTTTATACTGCTTTATATCTAAAAAATGCTTACAACTTCTCATAAAAATAGTCTGAGGCAACTATTTTTTCTTTTATTTTTTAACAGACATGTTCAACATTATGGGCAACATTTTTAAAACCTTAGGCTTCACAGACTTTCAGACATTCAAATACTGTGGTCCCTTTTCTTTGATGTGGTTTTATTCAGCTAGGAAAAAAACTATTGTAGACAACTTAATACATTTTCACCAAACTGAAAGTAGTACAAAAATTTTAAGACTACAGGACTACACATCGTACCTAATGTATCATTAAAAATAGAAGACAGTATTTTCTTCAGCAAATAAAACAGCATACTGGTATGCTGTTAATGCACACCTTTTAATGTGTACTGTCATCATAAATTATTTACAATTTCTACTGTGAAGAGAACCAGAATGTAAATTTTCTGCAAAACTGGAAAAAAGCAATACAAAATTTGTGAAAGCCTGTGTTTTATACTGTACAAAAGTAAGCCAGTTTTTCTCTTCAAATACTAGATACAGTAAGCAGTGCTATTTTGGACATATTATAGTAACTCTTGAGGATGTTTTAATGCTGGAGGTAAGTTTACAGGCCTTGATTCTTCATCAAGGAGAACTAGATCTTCTATTTCACTGCCTCTGTATTTCCTTTTACATATTTTTACCACCACCTTTTTCTTGAGAAATAACTTTAATGCTTCTCTTGATGCAACTGCTTTTGCATTTTCTTTGCTTTTTCCACAGCCAGTACCCAAATACACAGACTTGCACCTCAATTCACAAACAATACTTTCTTGAGAGCTCTTATTTTGAGGCAGATCTGCCAGTTCTTTTAGTGGGACAAAAAACACATCCAGTGTTGCTTTCAAAGCCTCGATGGCTGCGTTTAGCAGCTCTCCATGATTCACATTGGGACTAAAGCCACCAACAGCTACCAACTTCCATGCCACTGTTTTATACAGTCTATTGAAGAAAGGTTGCTTCTGTTTCACATCTTCATTGGTTAACTTGCAACAAGAGAATTTGACAGAACTCTCACTTGACTGTGAAGTACTTTTAGAAGGCAACTGTGAGGTGCTAGTCTGAGAACTACTCTTAGAAGCCAACTGGGACACACTTGCTAAGGAAGTGCTTTTGGAAACCAGAGATCCACTGGTCTGGGAGCTGCTCTTGGAAGCTAATAGTGATGCAGCTACCTGGGAAGTGCTTTTGGAAGGTAACAGTGATGTATTTGTTGAGGAGCTGCTCTTGGGAGTCAGTAAGGATGTGCCTGATGAGGAACTGTTTTTAGACACTGATGATGAAACACCTGCCTCTGAACTAGTTTTAGAAAGTAACCCACTTGGAGCTGTCTCTAAACTAGGTTTAGAAGACAACAATGGCAACTCTACTTCTGAGCTTCCTGAGGAACCCAACAAGGGCACCTCAATCTCTGAGCTACTTTGAGAAGCTGCTACTGAAGAGCCTTCCAAAGCACTCTTTTTGGGTGATCCACTTTGTTGTCTGGAATCAGTGGATTGGGTCATGTGACTATTCACACTGGACTTCAGCAATGAAGAAACAAATGATGCTGAGCCATGTTTGTCTGGAGCTTCTGATTCAGAAGCTTTTCCAGATCCAGCTGTTGTTACCTGAGAGGAAATGCTGCTGCTGCTTTGGCTGGAAACGGATGGGTCTCCATCACTTGTAGAGCTATTCTGACTGGAGATGCCAGAGCTCCGAGTTGAGTTTCCACTACTCTCTGATTTGGTGGATGACCCCATACATGTTGAGCTGTTCTGCTGAGCTGATGCACGTTCTGTCTTGGCAGAAATTTTTGCATGATCTTGCTCAACTGCAGAATTGTTCTTTCCTTCTAAGGCTCGTTTTTTAGATGGTTCTTCTACCCCTTCTAAAAAGAAGAAAAACACAGATATATGACTAAGAATACCTCACACGTATCAGTTGACAAGACATATATACATGTTAAAATAAAGGCACATGGTGAAGATATTTCAGGACTAGTAGTTTCAATTTAAAAAGTGTGGAATAACTTAATTAATTTCTTAAAGCAGTGATCATTAATTTCTAATATTAAAAAATCAACAGCAAGAGGCAACACTGGACACTTCAAAATCTAAAGCAGTCAAAAGAAACTATCAAATTCAGAACCTGAAACACACAAACACAGTTTAACATTCCAACTTGATTAATAACATTATAAAAATTCTGGCTTGTTAAAAAATTAGTAATACAATAATTCCTAATTATATCAAACTTATGTTCTAAACTCCTATGTATGTTCACATCTATGATCTGCTAACCATTGCTACTCGATATCCCTCTTTTCTTCACCTTGGCAACCAGTTCGTCTCTTGTTGTATGGATTGGAGCATCTGTCACTTTGATGCCTTCAGCCATACTAAGTATTTTATCCATAACTTTTTGAGGATATCTGAAAAAGAAGGAAAAGTCACTTTAAAAAAGTGGTTTTTTTTCTAAGCTACTTGTGGTGTGCAAAAACAGGCCAAAGGAACTGCATTTCCTGGTTGCAATCAAGACAGTGTACCAACCGCCAAGAACTATTTCCTGGAACCCCCACAAACAAATGCTCCAGGGTCTGAGAGGCTGGGCACCTCCTTACTAATCTTTAAATCTAGCGTCCAACCTCAAAAGCGTTGTGAGCTTAACACCAACAACTCTACTAGCAGCCCCCCACGCAACGCGAGCACGGACGGACGGACTGTTAATCATGTCTGCTTCTCACAGAGACGCCCTTCTCACCCTTAGAGGGCAGCGGTCTTGCAGATTCCCGCGCGGCACAACAACTTCCCCTCCCCACTGATGGCTCCGGGCCCCAGGCGGGGGGCGGAAGACCAAACCGGGAGGCCGGGTTAGGGACGCTTCCTCACTCACCGGCACCCGAGGAAGACGTGGTTTGCCCACGCCATGGAAAACGAGATGAGCTGCTGCAGCTGTCGATTGCGGGTCCCGCTCTCGCCGTCAGCAGCTTCATCCGTGTTAGCCGAGGCAGCGCCGCCAATGGGGGCCAGGTCCCCGGCGTTGCGGAGCAAAAACTCCCGGCGGTGGCGCCAGTGTTTGTCAGTCTCGCCCTCGCAGCGGAGAGCCTCCACCCAGGCGGCCACCCGCGGGTTCTGGCTCAGGTACTCCGACACCTCCTGCGCCATGTTGGGCCTGCAGAACGCGGAGGCCGAGAGCAGACGCTGCACCGGGAGATAAGGGGGGAGCGCAGGGGCGAGCGGCCCTGTCACTGCGGCCTGCACCGGCAGCCCTCCAGAGAACGCCCCTCGGGAGGCCCAAACACCAAACAACAGCGCGCAGAGCAGCTGAACCGCCCACTTCCGCCCGCCGCCGGCTTCTTCCCTTTTATAACCTCGCCGCCGCCGCGCGCCCGCGCGTCCTTCCGGCGCGAGCCAGCGTTCCCAGGACGCCTTGCGGCGCCGGAGGCGCGACGCCGCGGCCTCGCCAGGCTGCGGGAGCTTGTGGGGGAGGGGAGGGGAGGGCTCGGCAGGGAGGGGCGCCGGGCGCCTCCCGCCCCGCAAGGGAGGGCCGCAAGTGGGGCTGCCCCGGGGCGTCAGAAGCTCGGCGGATGCCTGAGCGTTCGGGCTGCGCTTTGTGACGCCGCGCGCTGCGGGCCAGCCGCGGCGCGGGGAGAAGAGGCGAGGAAGTGCGGGCCCAGGCGCGGAGGTTGCTGGGCCGAGGCGAGCAAAGACCGCGAGGACTGCGTCCTGCTAGACTTTGTGCCGCGATCAGCCGCGGGGTCTGTGGGTCTCTACCCTAAGGCGCCTGTGTCTGAGCGGGGCCAAAATAAACAAAAGCTGGCCTCCATTTTTTGGTCATGTCAGCAGTCTCTCGCGTTGTTTTGAATGTAGACAAGCGAAGCATTCGGAGGCCGTCGCGGTGTCAGACGGCTTTTAAGGGTGTGGGGATGCCTATTAACTTAACAAATAAAAATAACAAGGTTAAACGATTAATCCAGTTCCACGTTTCTGTATGGAATGCAGTCTTTAAAGCTAGTCTTTGCCCTGCAGGGGTTGGGTTGGGTTTCTGCAGTTTCTTAGGTCTCTAGTTCAACCCAGGCAGTACCTGCTTCCTCTAACTTTCGGTTTTGGTCAACAACAACAGAACTCTGGACCGATTACGTTCTGTATCTGTAGTTATTTCCTTAAATTCACAAACAAGTTACTTCCAACTGGGCAAATAGAGTCGGAGTGGATGTGCATGTTTTATCTGTATGCGCCAAATCTCTCCCTCTTCGAGCTATTTTTCCCTTCCATTTTTTTCCACTTTGCAGTTTCCGCAGTCACAACATATACTATTACTGCCCGCTTGCTTATTGTTAGGTTTCCAACTCAAGGTATATGTATACTCTAAGATTAAGATTAATAAATTTGAGTAAATTAAATAATGATAAATTACGATATTAAATTTTTTTTCCTTTCAGATGTTTGTAGACTTTGATATAAAAATGCTTGACTCAGAATAATCAAGCAAAAAAAGGTTACTTTAGATAAGATCACATACGGATAACAAAAAAACATGTAATTTATATACATGCTGGAACAATCAAAATCTGGCTATTATATAAAAACTATTGCCCATCTTCCTGCCATGCCAAAAGAAACTACATAAAAACAGAGGCACAAAAAAATTTTGAACCTTGGGATTTTGCTTCTAGTTTTGCTATTCTTGTCTCCTTTTCAGAGTTAATTGCTTAAAATTTAGAAGGATGAAAGGATTGCAGATATCTGGCTACGTGAAAGATTAAGAAATCTTATGGTTTCTCCTTTCATGAATTCTTTGTTAAGGGGGCCATAGCAACTAAAAGAATCTATGATTACCTGGCTCGATGATATTTGGAATTTCAAAATAATTCTTAAAAGTTATAATAAAAGCAACATAGTCTGAAAGCTGGAATACTACTTATTTGCAAAAGCCAGGTGCTTGACTGAAAAAGTAAACGTATTTTTTTATTCTTAAAAAGTCAACTTTGCATATAAAGATTCAGGGCGTAGACCAAAGGCCACAAAGTTAAGAAGAATGTCATTTAAAAAAAAAGCCTTTCCACCATACAGAAACAAATTTCTATCTGGGTTTGGGGGACAGGTTCAGAGAGCAAAGGTAAGAGGAGTACTAAGGTGATAACTAGGAAAATCTATGGGCATCGGAGGTAAGATAGGAGGTGTTGGCTGTTATAAATTGCTGGGTAGATTTTGAGGTCTTTGGCCTTTAGTAGAGGAGAAATGAGCATAGACAGGGTCTTTTATAGCTCTGATAACCAACTATACTGCTTCCTCCTCTGCCCCCGACACATGCATGTGCACACAGACACCTCTGTCACAGGGCTTAGAGGAGATCCAAAAAGTTCCCAAGAAAGACAGTTGAATGGTAAAGTGCCTGCCAGGCATCATAGTCCAAGGTGAAGTGAGTCTGGGAGTGGACAGCCCATCAACAAAGGAAAGTACAGCTGGTCCTCAACAAGTCATCAGACCAGTGAGATCCCTCAAACTCCTGAAATGATCGGTGCGCATTGTGTGTGCTGGGAGGTCAGTGACACTCCCAGTGGAGCCCACAGGGAAGAAAGCTCAGAGACAACGCTGTCTCTCCCACTGCCCCCACTCGAGACCTGATCAGAGGGGAAAAGGGAGAGAGTTCTGACCAACTGAGAAATACCCACCACCACCCCAAATTGAGAGTCAAGCCACAAGTGACTTAGTTCTCTACATCTCACAAGATTAAATTTTCTGCTGTAAGTCGAAGCCCATTCATTAAAACTGCTGCTATATCATATCTCTGAAGAAATCCGATAAAAATGCCAGCAGCAAGCTGGCCTTTCTGCAGATGGCTTTCCCTTGGAGCAACATGAAGGATGGCCCCTGTTCCCGAATGGGACTGTGGGAGCAATGAAGCCCTGGGTGTGCAGCTGTGCTGTGGATTGCAGAGGTTTGCGTAGAGCAAACACTCCAGTCAACATCAAGTGTTGAGAAACACTTCACAGAGAGGGAAAACTTCAACACAAACAATGTGTGAGCACACAAGTCAGGCAAATTACTGTTATACGGTGTGGTGTCCTAAAAGTCAAAGCAATACAATGTTTTAAGAGAGTGGTCCCCTGTGTCAGAAGCTGTGAGAAATCAAGTTAGACAAAGACCAGTACCAACAGTCAGATGTACAGATGGGAGTCATCGGTGAGCTTAGCAAACCAGTTCTGCTGGAGTGATAAAGGCAGACGTGATGTTGGAGTGGGTCCAGGAGTAGGAACTGGAGATATTTGGCTGTAAAGAGAAGAAAGAAGAAGATGGAGAGGGTTCTGGGGCAGCTTTTGAATTTAAGATGGGAGTAGATTGAACATATGCACCTGCTTCTCCCAGAGAAGGAGAGTTTGAAGATCCTGAACAAAAAGAGGGTAACACAATTTCTGAAGAGATAGGAGGGGCTGGGATCCACACAGAGGCGGAGAGATTAACCTCAGGTAGGCAGACACTTCCCCATTTTAAAAGAGAAAGAGGTTTGTAAGTAAGTTTGGCGGTGGGAAGTTGAGATGGAGACCATCTATCTGATGGAGCAGAGAATGCCTGAAGTGGACATTTTAGAGGGCAGAAGAGCAGCTGCCTAGATAAACACAGTTTTCCTGTCCAATGTTTTAAAAAATTATAAATTATGCACGCACACAAAAATAAAATGTTTATCTTTAAATTTACTTTTATTTTAGAGACAAGGTCTCACTCTGCTGCAGTAGCATAATCATGGCTCCCTGCAGCCTCTAACTCCTGGGCTCAAGTGATCCTCCTGTCTCAGCCTCCCAAATAGCTGGGACTACAGACATGCACCACCACACTTGGGTAATTTTTTTAAAAATTTTTTTGCAGAGTTGAGGGTCTCGGTATGTTGCCCAGGCTGGTCTTGAACTCCTGGCCTCATGTGATCCTCCTGCCTTGGCTTCCTGAAGTGCCAGGATTACAGGCATGAGTCACCATGCCTGGTCAAAAATGAAACATTTAAATAGAATAAAAGGCATAAATGAAAGTAAAAACTTCCATTCCTTACTCACCCTGGTCCCACTCTCCAGACATCAGCATGAATGTCATTTCTGTCTTTATTTCTTTGGGTGGTTATTTTCATAATTCCAAAGTATGTGTTTATACTTTCTTTTCTTGATTTTTCAACTTCAAGCAGTACTTAATTCACTCCTGAATGTGAAAGATGTTAAATCCATATCACTTACACTACCCTTTTTTTCCCTCCCAATTTTTGTTATATTTTTATTGTTTTCTTGTTGACCACCTTTCATAAATTCAAATATTATACTTAATCATTACTTTCTTAACCTATCAATTTTAGAGAGTTAGTTCTTGATTCCCACATCAGGTCAGAAAATTCTTCAGAGACCATATAATAGATATGTGGATATTCCAGAAATATGCCTTTAACATTAGATCTAATCCCTAGCAGTAAATTGGCAGAAGGTAGAGAATTCTGAAGTGTTCCTACTTAATCTGGAGGGTTTATGCCTTTCTGTTTTTACATTAAGCCTCCACATTAATAAATGTTAATAAATTTGTTTGCTGCTGTGAGGATTAAATAGACTGTGAAGTTATACCTTTCATGGGGGTGAGTGTCTAAAATCAGCATGTAAATGAAAGTCAGCCTGGTTCCACTGTACCTTCCTTTCCTGTAGTATAGCAATTGACCTCTATTTTTAGAAAGCCCCCCAGGCATCTACTGGTGTCAAGAAGTTAGAGAACTATGGATTTTCACTACGGGTTCACAAATTCTAGTTTGATTACTTTCGGTTGCTAGTGATAAAAAAAAAAAATTGGGATTTAAAATGGCTCCTGCTGGAACGAAAAGGGAACTTGTTGGCTGCGTCATTAACAGTCCAGAGGGCAGACTGTGGGATCCAGGTACTCAAACAGTGTAGTCAGGAAGACCGCTTCTCTTGTCTCTAGACCTGGCTTTCTCTGTGTTAGCGTCAGTCTCAGGCGAGCTCTTCTTACGTAGTTGCAAAACGGTTCCTATCAGCTAATACAGCACACATCCTTCATAGCTCAGCAACCTCAGTAGAAAGAGAACTCATCTTTCCTGATAGTTTCTGCCAAAGTCCTGAGCTTCTGTTGGGGGTTCATTGGTCCGGTCAGGTCATATGTCTATCCCTTACATAAACACTCTAGCCAAGGGTATGAAATACTCTGATTGCACAGGTCTGAGTCATGCACTCCCCCTAAGAATAATAAAACATCTGAGGAAGGTCAGTATCATGAAAAGAAAATAACAAACTCACAAATTCAACAAATTGAAGAATTTACACTCAAAGAAATGGAGATAACAGCAATATGAACAGAAAGATCAGCAGATACAGAAAAGATTTTAAAGAAAGAT